GTTCTTCCTCTCTTTAACCCACCCAATCTATTGAATCGATGAATTTGACCTTGGATACTTGAATTTGATCCATACATCTTCACGAGCAATGTATCCTATGTCCCCTTATCATTTTTTACGTATTGATTTGGTATATATTACGTCTATTTTGCAACCCTAGATACGTTATTACCTAATGTTTGAAGTGATTTTTTTTTGTATTATGTAACGGTAGGATGCCAAAGCATGGTAAAGCTAGTAAGCCAAGGTAATCTTTTATCATCGTGTTATATTATGTTTTTATTTATATGCAACAAATGAAAAAAAAACCCTAGGTTTAGGGTTTAATGTTCATTGCTTTCGGTTCTTAAAACAAATTTGGTTCAATTGTAGTTATGGCTGGATGACCGAAAATACCTTTGATCCATTGCCTCTGCCTCGTGGTGTTCCAGTGCCCATGTGCTAGTGCGGTGATCCTTGCAAGGTAGCCAAGTCCGATGAAGAGGACACGTATAGGCAGAGATATTGGATGTGTGCCAATTTTACGTTTGAGCCTACACTTCGTCAGCGCCGCATTAACGAGATGGTAGGCTCAAACGTAAAATTGGCAGAGGTATTGGATGCGGCGCTGACGAAGTGTAGGCTCAGACACAAAATTGACACACATCCAATACCTCTGCCTATACGTGTCCTCTTTATCGGACTTGACTACCTTGCAAGGATCACCACACCAGCACATGGGCACTGGAACACCCCTAGGCAGAGGCGATGGGTCGAATGCATTTTCAGTCATCCGGCCATAACTACAATTGAACCAAATTTGTTCTAAGAACCGAAAGCAATGAATATTAAACCCTAAACCTAGGGGTTTTCCATTTGTTGCACATAAATGAAAATATAATATAACACGATGATAAGAGATTACCTTGGCTTACTAGTTTTATCACGCTTTGGCATTCTACCATTACATAATACAAAAAATAAAAATCACTTCAAACATTAGGTAATAACGTATCTAGGGTTGCAAAATGACGTAATATATACCAAATCAATGCGTAAAAAATGATAAGGGAACAGAGGATATCTTGCTCGCGAAGATGTATAGATCAAATCCAAATATTCAAGGTCAAATTCGTCGATTCAAGAGATTGGGCGGGTTAGAGAGAGGAAGAACCCGAGATGGAGGAGGAAGAAATGAAAACAGCATCGGCAAGGAAAACTTGGCCGTGGGTTTTAAATCCATGCTCAACGTTAGGATCCATGGCTCCGAGCTCGGAGTCGAGATCCACGGCTCGGAGGTCGGAGCCACAGATATTGACGCCGAGCTCGGAGCCAAGATCTGTGGCTCCGAGATACCGGCCACGTCAACGTCACCTAGGATGCCCTGTTGTGTATGATAGGCACCTCGGAGCTAAAGATCCGTGGCGTCGAAACGTGTTACCTCGAAGCCATGAGTCCTAGCGTCGACCCGCAAGGTACATTGATGAGTTTACATCTTGCGAGGCAAATCTTATTTTTTTTAAAAAAAAAGAACCACATTGCAAAAAAAAAAATGGGTTCGTTCGTTACGAGGCCATCCTAGATCCTCGTAGTCCCTTTGGCCTTGTGGGGAGCCCCCCTGTGGAGTCTGTCTGGGGACCCGGCAATGCGCAGAAGGACAGAGGGAAGTAACCGTGACAGTTTTGTGCCCGCTACGGCGCTACACACACTGCTCCATTTTGTACAAACATGTAGCATACGGCAATCTGGATTCTGGAGCACTTATGTGTGCTAGTACCACAGCCTGTTTGATTGGCTGGTTCATATCGTTGCTGGTTCGTGAAGAAATACTGTTGAGCTGGTTTATATGAGAGAAAAATATTGTTCCGGCTGAAAATTTACGATCGTTTACGACAAACCACGACCAAACAAACAGCCTGCCAGTGTTTTACTACTCCTATCTCTGAGACTCTGAATGGAGCAATAGTGTTAGGCTTTGTCTTTTTCGTTTTCTATGGAAACCAAAAATGGGGCCTCAAGAACCGTGACCACAGGACCTGGCAAAGCGGGCAAGTGCTCTGGCTGGCATGCGGTCGGTCCTAGAGGCCGTAGCCCCTTTGCCGGCCGGCCGCGTCCAAAACCCTGAGGTGACAACACGGGCATAGAGCAGGACACCTACGACCTGACAGCCAGGAATCTCTCGAGTGCGAGTGGCGGGCGGGGCGCGACGCGCGAGCGGAGCAGCTCGGCCCAACAAAGCAGCGGCAACTCGGCGTGACGCGACCACATCGTGCCCTACAGAACGCGGGATCATGCCGCTGCGCTCCGGTCGCCGAAATGGAAGCACTTTAGGCCAGTCGCAGCCGCACTCCGCAGGCCAGGCCAGGCCCCCTGTACGACCCAACAGTAACCCATATTACCATACACCCTTTGTTTTTTGCTAAGAACTCATACCAAAATACTCCATCCGTGTCAGAATAGTAGACGTTGTAGCGTTTAAAATTTGTCGAACAAAAAAAAAGACGTTATAGCCACTCACAGGTATCCTAGTCTAAGTTTGACGTCCCATCAGTCCATTCATCCCCACTCTTCCACTCTTTCCGTCACCAGGAAGTGAAAAAACAGAGAGATGATGTTGTTTTGTTATGTCAAATCGGACATGTAGCATGTGCATAGAGGTAATGCAGGTATTTATTTATCCTCCACATTGATCTACGTGTCCAACTCTACAACGTCAACTTTTAAGGACAAAGGGAGTACTCCCTACACAACTCTTTGCCATTTCAATTTCATCTCACTCCATCTCTAATCCTCAGGTGCGGTGACAGCCTGTTCGTTTGATCGTAAACGATCGTAAATTTCGAGTTAGGAATAGTATTTTTCTCTCACACCAAACTAGCCAACAATAAATAATCCACATACGATCTCCCGAACATGCTGTAAACTCATTGTTACCGCTGTCGGGTAATGTACTTTAGGGCTCACCGAAATGCATGAGAAACGGATCTGATCGACCTTAATTCTGTTGAGCGACAGGAGCTGTTAACATTTTTTGAAGCAATGCTCGCAAAGCCTACCCCTCCTCTCTTATCGTCGGTCCAATCGATAGAGTGGTGGTGGTGGTACTTGCATCACGTCTCAATAGGATGTATCATGACCGGTTCCACGTCCCTATATGGTGTAGACCTGATGATCGTCCCCGGGGTTCTTTTTTTTCAGCAGCATGTTCGTTTCGGCCGGACATAAGGCATGACTGAAAGTACTATTGGCTGGTTTGGTGTAAGAGAAAAATATTGTTTGTTGGCTGATAAGCTAAGGCTTATAAGCCGAATACAGGCTGCCGAACAGGCTGCTGTTTGTTTGGGCTGGTTTGGCTTATAAACCATGACTGAAAGTACTGTTGACTAGTTTAGTGTGAGAGAAAAATATTATTCATTGACTGATAAGTCATGGCTTATAAACCAGATACGAGCAAGCGAACACATGTGGGCGTGAACTTATGATGGAATGAGCAATGCCCTTATGCGTATGAAGGGCCTAAGATGTACTCTCTCCGTTCTCCACAGAAAAAGGTATTATAGAATTTATTTAAAGCACAAATAAAAGATCGAAAAATTGGCTTGAATATCCCTTAAACAGTGTTGAACAATGCAAATACAGTATCCAACAACTTTAGATGTTTTTCTTTGTAGGATAAATTTTGATTGTTATAATGTCTTTCTTTGTGAGGTACCGGGAGTAAGACCCCTTTTGATACGACCATGTTTTACTGCTAGAACTGAAATTGTTTTTGAAATTGTTTGGTAAATTTGAGGACCTTGCTATCTAGCAGAGGGAGCTAAGAGAAGCTACCATTTTAGCTACATCAAACATACACCCTTTCCGAGACTGAGTTTTAAGAAGCTCAATTTGAGAGTGTATCATTTTAAACCATTTGATAAAACAAAATAGCTCGTAAAGCCGCCGGAGAAGTTGCGCAGAATGAGGCTTAAGTCTCACCTTCTACTCAAGCTGCCCTTGGGCAATTTTTGTGGAGTCATAACGTCTATTTGCATTTCTTCCTTCTGTCCTTGTAACGCATGTACTTCAAGCTGATCTAGTCACCAAACCAGCTCACCGCCAAGTCTCAAGTCTCAACCATGAAACATGTATCATGACTAGTTCCACGTTCCTACATGTCCTAGTGTCCAAGACCTAATAATCGTGCTCGCAAATTCATCATCTAAACCGGATTCAGGTGGGCGTGAACACATGATGGAAAGAACAATGCCCTTAGGCAGGAGTATGAATGAACAGACTAAGACGTCAGTGTCACGGTCACCTCAAGGGAATTTGGCGAAGGGGCCTGGAGGAAGCAATGGCGTCGGCATGCCCAAGAAAGGTAACCAGTCAAGAGGGGGCGCTCATTCCCCGGCGCCCCACAATCTGCTAAAGCGAACGGGGAAAAGCAATCAAGGAGACCCAAAGCGATCGACGTCCGCCACTGTGCGGCCGTGCCCGGGCCCTTCCTTCCCTGCCTGCTGGCTGCTGCCGCCGCGGTTGCTTTGATCCAATGCAACGTCCACAAGCAAAAGCAACAGCACACAGGCCACAGGGGACACAGGGAGTGAGAGTGAGAGAGATGCCAGGGCCAGGCGGCTGCTGCAGACGTTATTCCAAGCTCGCATTGAACTGCTCCAAAGGAATCCCAAAGCACCAGCCTTTCTCGCGGTCCGATGCGTTCAAAGATCTCTGCGAAAACAAAAGAATGAGGAGGGAGTGGGAAAGGAAAGATGGGGCGGCATCATCATACCATGCCAGCAGCTGAGCTGAGTGGAGTCGGCTCGAGCACTTGGCTTGTGAAAAAAAAATGCAAAGGAGTTGCTCGGTTCAAATCGGCGCCTTCGGCTGCTCCCATCATAAAAGGACCACACACTCTCCTTGGTGCCCAAGAGAGCGACACCCGAACGGCCGAACCATTGCTTAGAGGAGTGACCATTTGTTCGAGGGAGAGCGTGGGTAGTAGCAGCAGCTTGAGAGAACTAGCTGAGAGAACCAAGGACATGGCTTCCTTGCCTGATCCCACGGTGTACTACCCCACGTCCTCTAACGCCATCCTGCGCGCGCAGCCGTCCACCGCCGCGGCGTCCAAGGGCTCGTTCGGCCCGGTCTTCGCCGTGCTCGCGGTGATCTCCTTCCTCGCCGTGGCCGCCTGTGTCGTCGGCAGGCTGTGCGGCCGCCGCCTCTCCAGGAAGAGGGCGGCCGACCAGGACTTCTACGCCTCCGACGCCGTTGGGGGCGACCTGGAGAAGGGCTTCGAGATCAAGTACCCGACGATGAAGCCCATGGCGAGCTCTCGCGCCATGATCCACGACGTCGACGACGGCTTCGAGATCAAGTTCGCGCCGGGGAGGCCTGCGGCGTGGAAGAACGACAGCAAGGCCGACAACAAGGGGCGTCAGCATCAGGGCCAGGGCCAGGGCCAGGGCCAGGGCCAGCATCTGCATCAGCAGCCCCAGCTCGTTGGCATTCCCAAAGGCTACGCCGTGCCGAAGGAGTATGCGGGCTTCAGATACCCTGCTGAAGCCGTGGTCAGGCAGGGGCAAATAAGGGGCGGGGCATTCATTCCAGCAAAGCCTGGCACATGAACATATAGCAGCAGCTTAGGTTCACAACTCGATTGATGTATCACATATGATACGTACAATCTCTCATCATCCCTCGGGCGAACGATAGCGTTTTCATCTTCACTCTAGTTTTGGGGCGCAGTGTGCAAAAGTTCCCTCCGCGAACTAGTTCCAGGCACTTCCATATCGTATTTTGTACATTAACCCATTATAAGCAGTGAAGAATATCTCGTTCTCCAGTGACATGGCTTGAAAGCATCAATCGTCGACAGGGTCCTGAGGAGCTTCAGTAGCATTCCGTTTTATGGTGATGACGGGGCATTCTGCATGCTTAACGCAGAACTCGCTCACCGTACCCACGAAAACCCTACATACAAAAGACCATTCAGATTCGGTGCAAGTAAATTTCCTGTAGATTTTTCTTACTGGAGTTAACCGTAAATATAGTAGTAGGATCCAGATGAATATGATGCTCTGCTGAATAGACTATGGCAACAAACTTTGCTAGTGAATTTCTCATGCTTATACCTACTGTGCATATGTTTCCATCATCTAGTTCATAGTGACTGAACAATACCATGTGACACCATCACCAACAAGGTAAATAAATTGACTGACGAAAGAGTTGCAGAGAAGTCATACATGACTAAACGAAATGAGATCCCAAATGCACCTTCAAACGGGATAAAAGTAATGAATCAGTCTATATAATTAATCTTGCCTCTTGCTGATCAACATAAATAAGGTATTCTTTAAATTATATTGACTAAAGTGTGATGAAAAAATCGTCAAGACTCACCAGAAATTTAGCAAAGTAGATGAAAGGTGTCAATGAGGATTACACAACTAGTTCTAGACAAACTGACATGACATATCAGGAGATATAATCAGCCCTACATGCATAGGCCACTAAATTGCGAGATCTTTCTATTAGTACATTATCCGAAAGTATATCAAAGGAGTGTTTATTATTAGGATTAGTGCATATGGCTTTCACAGTAGGCACACTACACTGCTTATTGATTTGTACGGCACAATCTTATCTAGGGTGCACGAATATCAAAAGGCATTGGCATAATCATATGAGGGCACTACAACATGCATGCACACAAATAATAATAACAGAGAACAGCATCCTGCATTCACGAAAGTTGAGAAACATACTAACGTGAGATGATTTGAGCACCAACACAACCAAAGAGAAAAGGATGACAGGATCATAACAAAGGTAATAATTACACTTCACTAGAAGCAGCATGGCAAAGTAAACAAAAGAAAGTGTCCTGTTTTTCCTTTTCATATATGGTACCTTTTCTATTTCAAAATATTGTGATGAAAAAAAGTTGTTTGTATGCTTGGTGACTGTTTTGGTTTTAAACTACTTAGATTCCATTGTTAAGGAAAATATTATGCCTTATTTTTTTACAAGATAATCCCTGTTACAGAGGATGATGTGCAACTCAGGGCAATGGGACAACTCAAAAGAGTCCAATGGTATTAGATAAAGTATTACTGGAGCAAGAAAGATTTCTAGGTCACGACAGACCTTATTAGTTTATTCAGAAATCACATTCAGTACCTTACAAGGCTAAAGTGTATATATCATTCTAATTTCTAAGATGTTACACAAATATCATACCACCAATTGACAGTTCACAAAAACATAGGATTTCACGTTCGAATGCTCTTATCTACAACTGACATGTTACAGTCAGGTTCAACAAATTCAACATTAACTGTGCTTTTAGATGTTAGCTGCAATCCTTTTCTTAACTGACATGTTACAGTCAGGTTCAACAAATTCAACATTAACTTGAAGCTTCTAATGCAATATGCAAACTTTCGTGGTTTCTGCCCACTTTCCTAGGTTTCCCTAGAACTATATAAGCAAAATAATCAATACAATTTACAAAAAGAGGCTAACTAGTTAGCATCTGACAATATTAAAATGAATACTGATTTTTAAGAATAATCGCTCAACAACCTGAAAGCCATATGCTTTTGAACAACTTGCAAACAGAAAGAGGCTATATTGTGCTGACAGGTTTATTTTGTTTTGAAATAGAGCCATATTAAGTCCACTAGAAAAAGTGCACCATTTTCCTAGTGCTACATCAAAGGTACTAAATAATAGAGGCAGAGAAAAGCAAGATGATGATAATTGCTGCTAGTAACCACCAGACCTGTTCATAAGATGGGCCAACTGGCCAAGCCCAAGCCCAAGCTTTATTGGGACTGGCCAGACTAAGCTTGAGGCCAGGCACAGATCCCAGAAAAGCCCAAATATTGATATGTTTAGTTTTAGATAAAAAAAACTCATTGTATTCCATATTTCCAGATCCTATTGGTAAGTGCCAAAACATTTTATTTACTGTTTCTCGAAATATATTGGTAAAAGCTAAATCATGCTGGGCCTCAACTACAATTAAATCAAGTGATCAAGCAACAACAAACACATTTAACCATAGATCCTTGGATAATCAAAGCGCAAGGTAAATGTAAGAGATATGGAACACAATGAGCAGGGAGCAGCATAATGTGGGAGGTTGAATTACCGCATCATGCATTTTTCTGTATATGCCTGTTATGACCGGTCGGTCATATGCACGAAGGCAGAAGCCCATTAGTGGCTAGTTAGGCGCAAGGCCCATTAGTATTTTCATTATTTGCTATATATAGCTATTGTAAGGAATTGAAACAATTAAGCAAGAGCAATCAATCTGCTCGGCTTCCCTTAGGGAGCCGGGAGACTTCATAACAGCCCTAGCCTCCTCCTCCTTCCCTAGATCGAGAACACGGCTTTGGCGCCGTTCCATTCAATCCTCCGATCCACCATCCCTACAACCTCCGAACCATAGCTGGTAGGATCCGCAATCCTATCAATTTGGTATCAGCGATCCACAGTGCGATGCCGGGACCCCCACCAGCCTCTCCACCATGCCACCGCCGCCATTTCATCCACGAACGCACGGGGGCAATTAGCCGCCACTTCCCACGAAGAGCCCCCATTATACACCACGACGTCGCGATCGTGGCCACCTCGGGGCGGTCACCCCATCTGCGACACCAGAATCATCGCTATGACCTTGGCTGCCGATCACGGCGTTTCGAGATCGAAAAGCCATTGCGGGCATCCGCTCGTTTCTCGCGGGCGCAACGCGACCGGCCAAGACCCTCGGCCCTACTACTACCAGACGTACAATGAGGCACGGCCGGTCCCGCCGGCGCCAGCGCGATAACGTATCAAAGAAAGGCCGCCGGCGCCATCTCGCCACCAGCCGCCGTGGCTCTTATACCTTGTCTCCTACCAAGACTGGCATGCCCCACGACGGGTCGGCTTCCTCGACACACCGTGGCATCCGCCCGAATCCTGGAGTACCGGTGAGATCGCGTTTCCCGATCGCCATCGATGCCGAGTTGGATCACGGGCGGGCTGTCGAGGCGTCGGTGTCACCCGTCTACAACTGGCCTTTTGACCCTCCGTACCACCCTCGCTCTCCACGGGCTTGGGCGCCAAATGGGGCGTTCGGTGTCCGGCGTCTCAGACGGGCGCCGACGGCACTCTATTCCATGGGGTATGCGATGCGTCGGCGACGTCGCACACGGTGCCAGCAGCTCTGCAGGGATCCTCTCGATGACGGACCTCCGGAAAATATTTGAGTTCTATAAGTTGGAATTCCACACGTCGACGGTTGTGGATCCCGGAATTGGCTCAACGGTGTGAGCAATTCTTCAAGGGCACGCCAGACGCTAGCATCTCGACCGTTCATTGGCTCGCCTCCTTATCACTGAGGGCGAGGCGCAAACACGGTACCACGCCGTGGAGCAAGATGAAGGATGCCGCCGTGGGAGCTTTTGGGACCTCGTCGCTGCGCGCCGGACCACCACTACGGGTAGCCGCTTATTGAGCTAGATGGCTGCCCTTCACCACGACGGTGCAGGATTTCCTTGCAAGGCCTGTGCCTTGGCATGCCACGCCCGGGAGTTTCTAAACTAGCAGCGCTCTTCGTGGGCTGGCCTTCCTGACATATCCGGACCGACGTGGAGATGCAAGAGCCCCAAGACCTCCAAACGGCCATATATGCGCGCGGGCATTGAGCGGCAGGCGGCAAGCCAAAAGGCCGCCCACAGTGCACGGCCGCCCATGACCAATACCACTGGCCGCGCCGCCGCCAGTCTTCCAACGCCGGAGGTTGGGGTGCTGCGCTTTTATTGTACTTCGAGGGTCGCGTGTTCCGCCGCCTAACAAAAGAAAAAGCGGAGCGCCGAAAAGGGCTCTGCCTCAGTCCAGACGAGACTTACGCCCCGGTCACGCTCGCCACCGATTTCTATCGCCGCCGACGATGCGATGGGCTAGGCGGCGTCGAGAGCGGTGCCACAGTTCTTCGAATGATGGCGGAGGAGCCGACCGCCAGAGCGACCAGATGCTAACGCCTTCGTCGTCGCCTTGCATGCCTTGGCGGGTATCACGACGAGAGAACACGATATTACCGTCGGTGGAGGTGAACGGGAGGCGTCTGGTGGCCCTTCTCGACACCGGCTCTACCCATAACTTCCTCCGGGCGATGCTATGCGCCGCTGGGTCTCTCTCCTATGGGGGCGATCGATTACGGTTACGGTAGCAACGGCGACCGCCTACGATCTGAAGGATCGCGCCGCGCGGTCCCCATTCGCATTGAGGGCGAGGACTTCCTCATCACTGCGTGGGCCTCGACCTTGGCGGTTTCGACCTCATCTCGGCCACGACTACGAAGACGCTTCGGTCCGATCTTGTGGGACTTGGCGGCCAAGACGATGTCGTTCTCCGCCACGACCGTCGTATCCTATGGGCGGGCATGGGCGGATCGATGGGGATGTGAGCAGCGTGGGTGTCTCCAATGACAATCAATACCATTGTTGGACCGCCTCCCACAAAAAGACATCGCCATCTTCGACGAGCCACGTCTTCCACCGGCAAGACGGCCCGACGACCACCGTGAGATTCACTGCTATCGACACGGCGGCGGCGGTGGCCGTCCCGA